AAATTCGCTGCCATGCTTCGATTCCCTCTGGGGGTGCTGATAAGACCTAGTTGAGGTCGAAACTACAATCCACCCTGAATAAGAATTCCTTTTGGGAAGCAAGGCTATGTTAAATTCAATGTAAACTAAGGTCTACTCATTCCATTGTGAAACAATTAACTATCAGTCCTTCATCATCTCAATCCAAATAGGGTGTATACATCACATATATTTAATTAGAGTAGATTTGCTTAATGAGATTGTGAATGCATTATTCAATGCCTAAACTCAAGTCGTTTAATTTTCAATTTTTTGCAAATTATATCACCCATATCTTTTATTTCTCTTAATAAATGTTTTAATGGATTATCCTTGACACATCTTACTATTTTATATCTCACTTCGCCTTGTTTCCTATTCCTCTTTCTTATTTACACATATAGACCCTTATGCACCATATCCGTAACGCCTTTAGCTCTATAACTTCCTGTTCGCGCACCAGATCCTCGGCTTTTCCTACAATTTACGCCAGTCTACGGGCTTCATTAACTCCCGAGCTAATGGCTCAGATATACAGAGGTGCTTTGGAAGTCTGCTTTTCAAATTCTTCTTTAGTACTAAGTAGAGGAAACTGTGAAAGTAATAGCCAATCGATTTCTGGACATTATACTCTCAGCCCTTCAAACCTGGACTGGCTGCGACAGTTGTTTGCTCCAGCTAGCTTGCCAAGCTTTCTGGTCCCATGCTCACATGTATTTGTTAACTTATGTAATGCTAGTCAAGTTAAACGTCGTCGAGCCGAGCTTCATGACGAAAATGTATCCGAGATTCTTTCAGGCCACCAGACCATAGTCTGTCCAGTCTGTCGATCACAGCCATCTACCACTGCGGCAGACGACAGTCGCTCTGAATGTCGCCCAATCGGCAAGCGTAGCTATACCTCTTCATTTCCAGGTACCTCCTCTTATCTTAATAGCATTTACCTCTCATTTTTATTCTAAACGTCGGCATTAATTTAATTTATTCAGAATATTGTCGCTTTCATCTGGTCAACAGGGAACAAGTATGCTGGAGTCGTGCTAGCCTTCTAGATGGTTCTCATACCCGATCCCATTTTTCGTACAAAGACGATGAGAGTAGCAATAAGACACTTGCGCCTTTAGAGCGCATATACCACCATGAAGAAGGACAAAGCCATTCGACGCAAGAAGATTTGGAACCAGAGAATGCAAAGGGAGAAAACGATGATGAAGATGAAGAGGATGATGAATTTGATGAATATTCGGATATGATTATCACCTCGACACTCTGGCCCTGTGACAGTAATGAGGTTGAATTTGAAGACACTAAGCCTTTGGAACAAAGGCATTTTCGAATTCCCTTGTCTCCTACATATACTGATGAATGGCGTGACTTTTTCATCATCAAGCTGAATGTAAGTTCTCTAAAAGGGTATATATATATATATATATATATATTTATGGTTGGAGGAGAAATTAATGTGTGGGTTTTCTATACATATTTCTACCTAGCTTATTAACTTCATTGCTCACTATTTATTTTCCATTTTTAACTCCATGATAAACTTACTATTGACATCTATTATATTTATCAACTCAAAGGGTTCACTCAATCTTTCTTTGTCATGTTGCCAAACTGCAAAATAATCGTCCATATAACGATCTAATAACTTTGGAACTAGGGGTGCCTGTCGAAAAACATGAACTTCTAATTAGGTTATATAGTTATTAGCTAAAATAGTGACTAAACAATATTCCATAGCCAAGTCCCATGTTTGCTGCCATTGAAGGTAAAATATGTATTATACATACTAATCTAATAATCGAATCCTTGTCTGAGTGTTTACCTGTTATAAATTCAAGGTGTTGATCTTGAGTTAATTATACTACCTTAATTGCCACGTTTATCGTAATATAATGTACACAGACACTAAATCGAAACTTATCACAAATCTCTTCTTTCTATCCTATGTTCAGCAAGTAACTTAATAAAGTAGTAAGAGTTATATGCTGAAAACTTTCAAGTTTAAAAGATTTACCTTAGCCGAATACATATAAATCGCGATTTTTAATGCATCATGTTACCTCTATTATTTACAATAATCCTAAGTGGGGTAACTTGCTTATGAATTTTGGGTAGACCGTACGCGTTTGGAGGTCTAGCATCTCGCTGTAGCAGTACGGGATTTTCTACTTTTCCAGTTCCCCAATGTTTACACATTGTTATAGAGGACCCTTAAGTCTGACCTTAAGGCCTGTCGGGTCCCTAATTATAGTCTTTTATGCTGTATCATCATCTAATACCTTTAACATTTTCTCCACATAATCAGTCTTATTCATGACTACTACTGCTATTCCTTTGTCTGACCTGAAAACTAATTGCTCATTCTCCTATTAACTGTTCTATTCCTATATGGTGTTTCTACATGACCATCAACTTAAGGGACAACTTGTGATTCGATTTCATTCCTAGTATACTATGGGAAACTATCCATTAAACTTATCAATTCTACCAAAATTTCATATTTAAAGTCCTTAACATTTGAAAAGGCAAAGTTTTACCCCTGTATTAGGACCCCTTCACTAGTATTGTTCAATGAAGTTTTGGACAGATTTACCACTTTTTGGCAGTGCCTTTCCTTACCCTTCAATTCATTAGATTTGAGTTTTTCCTTGACCTAATTCTTATAATAAAATTGTATAGTTGAAATAGCCAACCAAATCATGAGATACCTCATTAGGATCACTAATTTAGGCGTACAAAAAGCGACTATGGGTGCGGCCAGCCACCTTTTCAATTGATTTGGTATATTTTTCCTCTATTTCGTGAAGTATGGATTCCTGCTCGGATGACGAAAGCTTAGTACAGTCTTATCTTGGTCATAGGACGATGAGCCGAAGCTTTCTTTGCACAATATAGCAGCCTTCCCTTCACGGCAATACTGATTCGGCTTCCGGTTAGATCACACCACGATTTCCTTTCAACCAACTTTTCCTTCAAAATGGAAAGTAATGTCACACTATACTAGTAAGGGATTCTTCGAAACCCAGTTTTTCTTCATATTTTTAATTAACCCATTTTTCATTCTTTACAGGAGTAACTAAATATGCGGTCATACTTGCTATTACATCAGTCCACCGCCTGACTGAGTTATTTTGACTTCTTTCGTGTTAGGCCTTATCACTTACTTAGGGCCCCATTGAACAACGAAAATTTACGTTGTTTACTTCCTAGATCTTATTTTATATCCTTTGCTATTTTCTGGTGGATATAAGAACTAGATGCCATTCAATAATTTTTATCATTATCGCTCTTATCTCTATTTCCTACTTCCTCTATAAAATCTTGCTCATTTTGGACCAAACCTTAGATCCCAGCTCTTAAGAGAACTTTGTTAGTGCTTGTTGCTTTTTAATATTTTTATTTCTTGCTATTAATCTATGCTTTTCTTCTTATGGCACACAATTAAATTTTTCAGAAAACGTGAAACTTCAGAATTTAGTATGTGGCTCTGGTATAAGTCCAGCAATCACCATGCAACCAGTCCCATAACTTTTGCTTTGTCAATTCTTTGCGTTAGAATTGCAGCTTTCAAAGATGCATGAATATCAGGACTTTGTATAGATGCTTAATTTAATTTTATTTGTAACTATGACGATCATGAAGCCATGGCCTCGTGTTTTGACGTAGTCTCTTCTTGGTATGATTTCGATTATGCAACTTGGTCGAGACGATAGGGATACCTTGTGGTGTATATTTAATCATGTTATCCGTCATAGTGATAAATTTCATCATCGGGCCGTCAAACTGATATATTCCCACACTTTTCATCATCTTAGTCGGCATTTTCAGTGAGTCTTCTCAGTTTTAATACAAAACCAAACTTATCAGTGACAATTGAAGTGTATCCATTGGCAAAATTTGTAAAAAAAATTGCGAAGTCTCCTCTTTCACTTGATACATCAACCTACCAGCATTCGCCACATTAGAAAATAAAATTTGAGAAATTTACCATGTTTTCCTCATATTGCGTGGGGAGGCTTGCTACGAGTATCGTCTTCTTTACCATCCCTATATATTCCATTTTCTCAATATTGAGCCTTTTTTCCAAATTGGTGCTTTTGTGCATTCTATTTCATCCTTTTTTTCATTCCCCAAAATGCTCTGTTATTCATTGTCTGTACGTTTATTTATAGGACTTATATATTCTTGCATTGCCGAAAAATATCCGAGGTATTTTGATCAATTTTTATCCCAGGACTATGACCGTTAGTCTTAGGCTATTGATAACGATAGTTATAAAAGCTAAAATAGTGTAGCCTTTTTTTGGTCGCAATCTCCTTTAGATCTCTATTGTTGATTTGACCTCGTATTCGCAACTTGTTCGAAACGACATGGAGACCTTGTGGAATGTACCTATTCCTGCATCCTCTGGCATATTATACGCATGATTTCCAGAATATTATCATTCACTTAAGGCATTCCCAGGAGTTTCGCCAGTACCAAAGTGGCAAGCGAAGGTCATCCCCTTTATCAATATTCTGACAACCCTTGCGCATCACTCCTCGCCCCTATTTTTTTCTCCTAGCTTCTCGTGCTACATCCCCACTTCACATCGCCTGGTTACCTATTCACAGGATTCTGTGCTCTTGCTTCCTCCAATGCCGCATCAGAATGTGTCGCTTCAAGTAGATCTAGGTAGACCTTCACCACTCGTTTTAGATGCGGTCTGCATAGCTTATGACTTTCTTTTAGCCCCCTTCCACCCCCATTGTCAGTTGTTCCCTACTCCAGATGAGAATTATCCTATGGCCGACTGAAATCGTGTTAACCATCAACCTTCTATTCCGGCTCCTGTTTACGTCATATTCGAAAGCTTAAGGATAGTTGATTCTCACGCTAGGCTGTTTCTCCCAAATTTTTCTCTATTATAGGTGCTAGACTAAAGATTCAGGTCTATTTGAAATTCACCTGGGTTTAAAATCCGAGCTAGGGGGCGCAATATCACTTAATCTCCAGTGTGTGTATGTATGGCAGCGTGCATTTTCGTGTGCGTATGCTTGTGGTGATAAGCGACTGGTTAGATACCTCACTAGGGAGATTGCCAGCCCATATACACATGCCCAACTAACTAGAACTTTAGAATTAGGGGGCATTTCCAATCTGAGACGCACAGAGAGTGTGAGTTACGTGACCTAAGAGTGAAGGCAAACGGTCCATTTTCATACCGGCGGTTCTAAATCAAGCCAGACCCAGCGCTCCATAGAATTAATGAATATGGTGTGAATGAGAAAGTAGATAACAGGGTGATTAGTCCGAAGTTTAGGAACAAGAAAATTGATAACTATCAGAATTTCCAGTCTCTAAATCCTCAATTGTATCGTAAATGGGTACCTGAATCGAATGCTCTTAGGCAGCCAGACAGTGATGCTAGCATATCTTGAATTTTGTTTGAAAAGTCGAGTGGATAGGATTCGTAAATTGGCCTCACTGAATACTAAGGATGGTTGCCTCGTTCTTGTGACTGTTTGATTGTTCGAAGAAGACCTTGGTTCACAACTCTGCGACCCCGATGTATCTGTTGCATGACGGACAGACTAGGTCTACTTCGCGCTCACCAATAATCACAAGGCAAAGGCAAACCTTCCATTTCTGGTGAAGCCAATTTACGTATCCCCTCCGCAGAAATAAAAGGTTGACCATTATCTATTTACTAAATGAGTCTTCGAAACTCCGCTTTTAATTATATAGCCAGAAAGTGATTTTCCTGTCTAGCTGGGGCAAAGTGACAATTGTGGTGGAAGGGGTTAAATCAAAGTTGTAAGCCCTGCGAACAGCATCTGAAAGTGATTATGCTTCACTAATTTCACTTGAGACAACATTCTAATGCGACATTGAATGTAACGAGAACACAGAATGGTTGAAGAGAAAATTGTCCAAGGGACTTCTTTGTCACTGATAAGTTGTAACTCTGTTCTAAGGGTAGCGCCTCTCACTGACGATGGGTCGAAACATCTGGGTATGTACTGAGACAGTAGTAAGACGCTGGAAATTATCATGAATACTATGGTGAAGTGCCCAGGACAGTTCGCTTCACAAGTTCTCCTTGTCGCTCCCACCAGATTGCCCAGACGAGGTTAAACCAACACTATTTATAATCATTCTATTTTAATATTTACATTTTCATTCTCTGGCTTTGTATGTGACTGTAAATTGAATATTATTACTTCATGCTACTTCTTTCAGCATAATCTTTTCTTGAGTTCTCTGTAGAGAATTGGTTAAGGTAGTAGGATATATCAGAACAAGAAATATGCCTTGATATTCAGCATAAAGTTTGCTAAGAGATGGACTTGACTTGTCTCTTATCTGATTAGTTTATCTTGGTGCTAAGACTGGCGAAGGCCACTGACGAGACCAGTGAAATATCTGGGAATGTACCACGTAAACGATCCGATGGTTATAATTTTCATTAATGCTATAGTAAAGGATGCTATAAAGGGTACGTTATACAAGCCCTCCATGTCGCTCGGACCAAGCTGTGAAAACTAGGTAATACTAACTCAATTATGTTTACGTTTTTTGAATTCTTTTTCAAAAGGTGCATGCCACGCACTCACTCAGTAAGTTTTTTTGTTTAGAGGATTTTTTCTAGTAGGAATAAAAGATGCAAGGCCATCAGTCCGAAAATGAGCAGAGATTATCAATCAGAGACATACTTCATTAACACCTTTGGCTGATTTATCCCTTTATGTCTTATCT